AGAAGCAACCAACAGAGTAAAAAGACAAACTAAAGAACGGGAGAAAACATTTGAAAACCATATATCTGATAAAAAGTTAATAACCAAAATATATAATGGACTCATGTAACTCAATAGCAAAAAAATAACCTGACTAAAAAGTAAGCAAGGGACCTGAAGAGACATTTCTCTAAAGAAGACATACAAATGGCCAATAGGCATATGAAAACAGGTTCAACATCACTAATCACCAGGGAAATGCAAATCAAAACCACAGTGACATATCATCACACATCTGTTAGGATGGCTATTATTAAAAAGTCAAAAGATAACAAGTGTTGGTGATGGTGTCGAGAAAAAGGGACCCTTATACACAATTGGGGGAAATATAAATTGATACAGCTGTTATCAAAAACAGTATAGAGGCTTCTCAAAAGATTAAAAATAGAACTACTATAAGATCCAGTGATCCGCTTCTGGATATATATCCAAAGGATATAAAATGACTTTCTCAAAGAGCTACCTGCACCCCCATGTTCATTACAGTGTCATTCACAGAACAAAGATATGAAACAACTTAAGTGTTTGTCAATGGAAAAATGGACAAAGAAAATGTGATATGTATGTATACATATGTGTATATATATATATATATATGTATGCATATACATAGAGAGAGAGAGAAACAGAGAATGGAACATTATTCAGCCTTAAAAAGGAAATCCTGCCATTTGTGACACTTGTAGATGAACCTGTAGAACATTTTGCTGAGGGAAATAAGCTGGACACAGAAAGACATATACTACATGATCTCACTTATCTGGGGAATCTAAAAGTTTCAAACTCAAGTAACAGAGTAAAATGGTAGTTACTAGTGGCTGGGGAGTTGGGGAAATGGGGAGATGTTGGTCAAAAGGAACAAACTTTCAATTATAAGATGAATAAATTCTCGGGACCTAATGTACAGCATGGTGATTATAGTTAATAATAACGTATTGTATACTTGAAAATTGCTAAGATAGTAGATCTCAAGTGTTCTCACCACACATACAGAAAGTGGTAACTAGATGAGACGACGGATATGGTAATTAGCTTGATTGTGGTAATCATTTCACAATGTGTATGTATATCAAAACATCACATTGTACACCTTAAATATAATAATTTCTATTTGTCAATCATACTGCAATAAAGCTAGAAAAATATTGTTCATTAGAAATACGCTTTATTTAATATAAAATTCCTAGGTGAGGATTTTCAAGTTCCTAATTGGAGACAGCAACTTTATTCAAATTCATTTTTCTCTCTCCTGCAGTATAAGGTACCCCTTCTAATATAAGAATATTGAAATATTATTCAGCCTCTTTTCTCAATGAAGAAATACGACAGCAAAAGTCTTGATGAACAAACACATGTTCAGTTTGGGCTACAGTGTCTAGTCTAGAAAACGCCCAGGGTCAGAGAAGCTGGATGGCAATAGCACGGTCAGTACCTAATTCTTTTCAGGGCATTGGCTGTTGAATGGAAAAACAAGAAAAGACATTTTACAAGTACTTCTTCATGATTTTAACAGTTCTGGTGCAGCTGGAACTCCAGAATGACAAAAAGAATATGGAGCGACATTGAAGCCAGATCTACTCAGCCAAATTAACCATAGAACTCCTTTGGATACTTTATCCAGTGAATATTTATGGCATAGGGAGAGGAATACAGCAACCAAGCGCTTCAGGTTTAAAAGTATATATTCTCAGCAAGCTTTTTAGTTATTACATTTTCCGGGTTGACAAACCTTATCTCTAATTACTTGGCTAATTCAACACAATTCTTTTTTGTTTTATTGTGTGGTCTGCTATTATAAACACATGTAAAAGCAGTTTACCATGAATTCACTTGGTGGGAGCCAGCAGGAGTGAGGGGGGAAATTATTCTCCTTAAACACAAGGTTAAAGCGTGAAGCCTGGAGCACTGTTTTCCTAAAACTAATTTATCAACTTCCAAGGGTTTTCCCCTGGCTATACCTAAGCAAAGCTCTAAAGACGTGCCTGGTATAGTACCTTTTTATGTGGTTTTGTTCTATTTGCATGAAAGTACGGCTATCACTCATTAAATTGTAATTTTTCCAGCAATTTTATATTTGTTATAATTGTGTTTATTTTTATAATTTTTTCGAGTCATTAAGTATCATATCACCTGTGAAATAGACTCCTGTGTAATTTTGGCCTGAACCAGAAGCAGATGATAAGGGAGGATGATATAGTATGAAGAACACTAAATTAAGAGTTGAAAAACTGGGTATTATCCCTAATTTTTTCAGTAGATACTTTTGGCTTTGTGATTTAGGTCTTGAGGATTTAATTTGCACTTATATAAAGTGAGGCTGCATGACTAAAGTATTTCTAAATTTTTTTTCAGCATTAATATGTTATGAAGCAATGAACCCGCTCTTGTTTCCATATGTCACTCTTGGAGCTCAATTGGGAAACTTTATCAAGAATATATTCCATCTGCACCTTTCAGTTCTGGTGACTGGGCAGTGTGGGAGGTAGAATAAGACGTCCATGTCCCAATCCCAAAACCTGTGCCTAGGTTTTGTTACAGGGGAAATGCAATGAAGTTTGTAGACGGAATTAAGATTGCTAATCAACTGACTAATAAAATAGGGAAATTATCCTGGATTATCTGGGAGGGCCCGGTCTAATCGCATTAAAAGTAGAGAGCTCTTAAAAGTAGAAAAGGAAGACAGGAGAGTATATCACAGAGATGAAACTAAAAAAGGAGGAGTGAGTCTAAGCATGAGAGGTACTCAAATAAAGTAGAGACTCTTGTGTTAACCTCCGCTTAACTCGTTTACTTGATTAACTAAAGTTCTGTGCTTCCTCTTCTTTTAGCATCTGCATTGTTTATTTATCAACAGATCTGTTTCAGTCTGCAGATCCTGAACTCTACAGTCAAAGAATATGCTTTGGCCCTCATATGAAAAAATTAAGACATTCATGTATATTGATATGTTTTAGATTAAAACAAAATTAACCTATGTTTTCAATTAACAGACTGGGATGCAATTTATTATGATCACATGAGTATATAAATGTAAATGGTGTAATGACATGTATTGGCAGATATTGGGGTATACGGAAGGGTGGTCTAATCTAGACTGAGTGGTAAGGAACCTATTCTCTGAAAAAACTATGTAAAATGTAATATCTAAAGGATAAGTTCATGATGCAAAGGGCTTGAGGATTATAAAATGTATTGCACTATTGCAATAGTGTTATCATATTATTTGCTTTTATTTATTTAAAACCACTTCATTTCTACCATGTTCAAATACTATGGTAGGCCCTGAAAATATAAAAATGAGTAAGACGCAATCTCTAACACTTTGGGAATTCATCCTCTCATGAGCCATTTGCCACAGAATAGCAGTAATCAAATTTGTCTCTATCACCCTCACAATTCTATCCCTCATTTTATGTTCTTTCTCTTGGATGGGGGAAAATTGCAAATACTTGTTTCATTATCAAATGATACAGTGATTTCCTGAGTATTTTATTATTTACAGTTTTCTAGTCTTCTCTGGTGCTCAGAGGGCATTGAACATTTTTGGCAAGGTTTTAGCACTGTTTTAGCCAGGTCACTCATCATTGGTACCATAATGGCTGAACAGAAGTAGAGCACTCTCTTTGCAGCTGATTTTTTTCAGGTGTGCTCTTTAAAGCAGCCCTAATGGGCAGACAGTTCACTGCATCTCTAGCTGTTGGCATATGGCATCCAGGAGGACACGGCAGCCCAGACAGCCCATCAGATTAACCATGTAATAGACCCAGAAGCTGCTTTAAAGCTGTAAAACAAAATTGCTTATGGAGTCTGCCAGCACGCCAGATGCTGCTATTGGAAGAAATATCTTCCAGTGCTTAGCATCTGGGTCTCATGGTTGCCAGAAAAAAAGAGAAAAAGAATTGGCAATTCACTACCAATGAGATTGCTTTTGCAAGATAAGAATTTTTATATTTTTTAAAATGTCAAATGCATTATGTAGCAGCAAAGGTTAAAATTAGGTATCGCCTATGTAGGCCACTGTTAACCTACATTCTCCATACAATCCTTAGGCAGCTGGATGAATATTGTCTAAATAAATAAGAACACTCAGAATCTGGAATTTGAATGTGAATTTTCAGTCTGTTTCCAATCTGCTTATTTTATTGATATTTTGCATAATAACATTCTTGCCAACTGAATATAAATTTTATATTTAAACAAGGTACGAAATAATGTTTTCACATTAGCACATGCTAGTTTGTTTTCTGACTGCCAATTATATAATTGAATATTATAACTAAAGATATAACTCCCAAATATCAATCAACTGTTTTTCAGTAGAATTGCTTTTCTAAGCCAAATAAACTATGGATTTGACTAATTTAATTTAAAGCCAATTAGATTTAGTCTTTAAGCCCAAACACAAGGTGAGTCATTTCTTGTCAGTTATATAATTTATCAGTACTGCCTACACTCTGAAGAAAAACACCCAATATATTTCGGCTTCTTAAAATCGATATTTGATGTCCAAAAAAGAAAAAAAAAACTTGTGTTAACTCTCTGATGATAAACACTAGCATGTTTTACTTGACTCAGATGACTCTTTCTATATACCACTCAAAACAAAGTCATTGAACATAGATATTGAATATGAGAGACCACCTGAAACTACGATTTTTTATGCTCCAACATTTAACACCTTAATATATAGTGACGCCAAAAGCCCATTAATTCTCTAATTTGGCCATAATGGCTAATTATACAGTCTAACTTTGTCAGAGAGCTACCAGTGTAAAATGTTTTTAAATCCAAACACCTGATTTAATACCGCCAATACATTCAATAGCCAACTCCAGTAAATACGAATATATTGTAACATTTAGTTGATAATATAACATAGAACAGTAATAATTAAACTATGCTGATTTGGATATTTTACTATGCAGACTTAGATTATTTTGGAGATTGAAAATACTACTTACCTCTGAAAAATAGTGGTGAAAATCTTTTGTCAATTTTCTGGGGGAAAAATAAATAACAAGGGAGAATTTTATTGAGAATTTTATCAGATATTTTTCCACTAAAATTTTCTTAAGTGCTTTAACTGTAACAATTAGACATTTATTGTTGAAAATTTTGGAGAACCATGTGGCAGTATGTATCCAATTTAAAAGTGAATTAGATGCCCTTAGATGCAAGAATTATATTCAAGCCATCTAAACTCTGCATATGTTTTCATGTTGGCAAATTATATATATATATACACACACATATACATATACATATATATGTGTATATGTGTGTGTATATATGTGAATGTGTGTGTGTGTGTGTGTGTGTAAGGATAAGCATTTGTTATAGTAAAAAAAGAAATGATCTAAATATTTATCAATGGAGGACAGGTTAATAAGTTAAATTAATTACATGATATGGGACATTGTATTCTGGATAAAAAGAATAAGATAGATTTCTTTGTAATGGCACAAGAAAAGCATTAAGTTAAAGTACTGAGCAGAAAATGCAATGTTCACAAATTTTCTAGAGTATAATCTGACTTGATTAACTACTAAAAATCTAAACCTAAATATCCAGGTTTATATAATTATTTGTATGACAATGTCTCTAGGGAAGGCAGTACCATAAGGAGAGATGCTGAGAGCCTATATCCTTCATTCAATGTATTTCTATATTACTCCATTATTCAGAATAAGCATATATTCACATGCTATTAGTGTAACTATGATAGGTGGTTTTTAAACATGAATTTTAAAGTATAAGCCTACGTATCAATTTCCTTCTTTTGCCCATTTACTTATTGGCTAAACATTTCCTCTACCCCTGCCACCTCAGAAACTCCATGCTAGACGTGCATACACATGGCCTGCAGCATCATGAAGTCTGGATAGAATGACAATGAGGAAGTCCATCACCAAAATAATAGCCAAAAAATGCTACAGAGGAAGGCATTAGAACCTGCTGGCACAATGGGAAAATGATTAATGCTGCTTAAATGAATTAAGGAAAGCTTTCCAGAAGAATAGATTGTGAGATAAGTCTTAGGGATATATAGAAATTATGCCAGGCAGTTAGAAGGGATAATTAATATAGAAGGTCAACCAAGTAGAGAGGAAAATCAGCTAAATGACTGTAAGGGGAAAAACACCAAAGCACCACTCAGGGTTTGAATAATGAGATTAGTGATGATGCCCAGGGATTAACCTGAAGAGGCCAGTTACAAAGATCTTGTAGGTCATGCCAAGGACTTATCTCAGTCATCCTATAAATAATAGAGTTTCGTTAGAAGTTTTACAATTAAAAAGAAACAATCAAATATGCGTTTTTAGAAACGTGACTGTCTTGACAGTTTTAAAAATAGAGTAGATTAGAATAGATAAGAATAGATAAGAAGGCTGACGTCAAGGATATCATTTGGGAGGATATTACAATATTCATGTCAATAGACATTATATGTGTGTGCCTGTCTGTGTTTGTGTGTACGTGTTTGTGTCAATTTCATGTCTTGTTTATGAATAAATATATATATGAATAATGCTTTAATTTATGTATTTATTAAACTTTATGTGCTAACTTTACATATATACATGATTCATATACATACATATATAACAAAGGTGAAATGGGTACCAAATTTTGAATGTTGGAATTAAAATTGAAATGACCTTGCTTGACTGTTCCAATGCATAACATCAGAAAAAGACTATCTGATCTGAAAAATGAAAGATGTTTAGAAAAAGAAGAATCAGAACAACCTATGCAAATGATAAGATAAAATAAAAAAAAAGATAAAACCTAAATATTGAATTCCTTGTAATGAATGCAAAAGTAGACTGGTACCTGGCAAACAAAGTACGAGTACATTTAAAAACTGAACCTGATGTCTCCATAAAGATAAAATTGTATATTGTTAGAAATTTCCCTAGTACCTAGTATCTGATTGCTAAGATAGGGTTCTTTCTCAGCTTAATATGTAATGAAGAATGTCTCTCTCTATCTTGATTTTTTATTTTTATTTTCCCATTGTTTATACTCATGACTTAATGACTTATTGTAAGATTTGTTCTTTTCTTTCTACTATTACAGGTGATTGTGATAAAACTTGCTATCATTTACTTAGAATCCCTTTGTGTCAGGCAGCCACTGTAGTAAGAACTATGGGGGTAAATATTGTTATTTCCATTGTGCAGATGAGGGCGTCAAAACTTAGAGAGCTGAAGAGATGAGCCAAAAGTCACAGTTTACTGGGCAACCAAGATAGAGTGTAAGCCAATATCAACATGATTCTAGACCATTGTTGTTTCCACTACACAGTGTGAAGTGGTTTAAAGCAAATTGAATTGTGTGTCATCATAAGTTTTCATGACAAAAGTTGGTCTATTAACTACATGCACATTCAGTCAAAAAAAGTTTGGTGTGGCTGTTTAAATTGTTAGGTTTTAGGATTGAAAGCTTTCATTCTGACACAGATTTAATCTGCTAGATTAGAGTAATGGGCCTGATATATATAGGTGAAATGATTAATGTAGTATTTCTTGGCTGTAGCAAGACTTTTGTACTACACTACTTACATATCAATAAATTTGTTAAAATACAGCTCGGATCACCAAACTGTTAGCCAAAAGCATTACTAAATACTGTCTATGTTAAGAATAGTATATGAGAGCATAATTGGGTGAATTTAAAAATAAAAAAGAGCTTTGTTATATCAGGAAATAAATGAACCACTCAGGAATCTTCAAAGTACCCTTTTTGCATAAAAGCTTGAAAATGTATGAAACATAAGAATAAGTGCATCAATCATCTCATTGTACCACATATCTAGTTATTCATTTGTGCGTTAACATGTATTATTTAGGCAATATATATAATATTATAGCTGTGACTCATTATATATGTACATGTATACTCACAAATATAATTAGCTCTTTCAAAAAATTACTATAAACTTTATATTTTAAAAAGTTATAAAATGTATGTTGTATAGTTTAAATGTCCATACTACCTAAAGCCATTTACAGATTCAATGTAATCCCAATGACATTCTTCATGGAAATAGAACAAAGAATCCTAAAATTCATATGGGATAGCAAAAGACCCCAAATAGCTAAAGCAATCCTGAGAAAAAGGAACAAAGCTGGAGGTATCACAATCCTTGACTTCAAAATATGCTACAAACCTATAGTAATCAAAACAGCATGGTACTTGTACAAAAACAGGCACAGAGATCAATGGAACAGAATTGAAAGCCCAGAAATAAAACCACACATCTATGGACAGCTAATCTTCAACAAAGGAGCTAAGAATATACAATGAAGAAAGGAAATTCTCTTCAATAAATGGTATTGGGAAAATTGGACAGCCACATGTAAAAGAATGAAAGTAGACTGTTATCTTACACCATACACAAAAATTAACTCAAAATGGATTAAAGACTTGAAGATAAGACATGAAACCATAAAACTCCTAGAAGAAAATACAGGTAGTACACACTTCGACATTGATCTTAGAAGGATGTTTTTGAATCCCGTGTCTACTCAGGCAAGGGAAACAGACAGACAACATAAACAATTGAGACTTCACCAGACTAAAGAGCTTCTGCAAGGCAAAGGAAACCAGGCATAAAACAAAAAGATAGGAGCTGGCCCGGTGGCACAGCAGTTAAGTTAGCACGTTCCGCTTCAGTGGCCTGGGGTTCACCGGTTCGGATCCTGGGTGTGGACATGGCACTGCTTGGCAAGCCATGCTGTGGCAGGCATCCCACATATAAAGTGGAGAAAGATGGGCATGGATAGTAGCTCAGGGCCAGGTTTCCTCAGCAAAAAGCGGAGGATTGGCGGCAGGTGTTAGCTCAGGGCTAATCTTCCTCAAAAAAAAAAAAAAAAATCCTATAAATAAGAAAAAAAAAGATAACCCATCAGCTGGGAGAAAATATTTGCAAATCATATATCCAACAAGGAGTTAATCTCCAAAATATATAAAGAACTCATACAACTCAACAACAAGAAAACAAACAACTAATGAAAAATGGGCAGAGGATATGAACAGACATTTTTCCAAAGAAGTTATACAGATGGCCAACAGGCGCATGAAAAGATGTTCAACATCACTAATCATCAGGGAAATGCAAATTCAAACTACAATGAGATATCACCTTACACCTGTTAGAATGGCTATAACTACCAAGACAAAAAACAACAAATGTTGGAGAAGATGTGGAGAAAAAGGAACCCTCATACACTGGTAGGAATGCAAAAGGGTGCAGCCACTATATAGAGATTTCTCAAAAAATTAAAAATAGCAATACCATACAACCCAGCTATTCCACTACTCGATATTTATCCATAGAACTTGAAATCAAAAATTCAAAGAGATTTATGCATTCCTATGTTCATTGCATCATTACTCACAATAACCAAGACATGGAAGCAACCCAAATGTCCATCAACTGATGAATGAATAAAGAAGATGTGGTATATATATGCAATGGGATACTACTCAGCCATAAAAAAGAGAAAATCATCCCATTTGCAACAACAGGGATGGACCTTGTGGGTATTATGTTAAGCCAAATAAGCCAGACAGAGAAAGAGAAACACCATATGATTTCACTCATCTGTGGAAGATAAACAAATACATGGATAAGGAGAACAGATTAGTGGCCACCAGAGGGCGAGGGAGTTAGGTGGTGGGCATAAGGGGTAAAGGGGCAAGTATATACGGTGACTGACAAATAATAATGTACAACTGAAATTTCACAATGTTATAAACAATTATGACCTCAATAAAGTAAAAAGAAACAAAAGTATGTAGTAGTAGACAGAATAATAATTCCCCCAAAGATGTATGCCCAGAATCTTTGACTATGTTACCTTCTTGGCAAAAGAGACTTGGCAAATGTGATTGAGAATTTTGAAATGAAAAGATTATCTTGAATTATCCAGCTTGTCTAATGTATTCACAATGGTCCAGATAAGGGGAAAAGCAAGAAAATAGTCAGAGAG